CTTGGCCTTGAGCCTTGAGCCTTGAGCTTGCGCTTGAGCTCGAGAGATAATGGAGTACAAAATAGAAACCGAAAACCCGTCAGTCACTTTTCCCAATCCATAGTAATCGTCCTTTTTTTTTAGTGTAGACTAGACAGCAGGCAATTAGGAGATCAATTCTGCATGCATGATTTTTAGCCCAAAAATAAATATCATAAACAAAACAATTTCAAAATTTCAGAAGCACAACAAAAAGAAATGGCGCAAGAGCCACAAATAACAAGAATTCAACAACAATTACAACAAATCAACAAATCAAAACAAGAACAAGAACAAGAAAAAGAAAATGAACAAGAACACAAAGAAATCAAAACAAGAACAATTGAAATGACGCAAGAGTCGAAAGAAATCCGATCGGTTTATGAGGAATCAACGCTTGATGCTGAGCTCAGAGATGCTAGTGTTTTGAGTGAAACGGCCATGATTCGATGGACGAGATCCGCGTCCGAAGGACCGAAGAAAGTCAGAAAGCTGCAACAAAGTCTTTCACTTGATCTTCAGAGTCAACAAATCATAAAGATCAGTTCAGCATTGAGCGGATTGTTGAAAGAAGTAAGGACTGAAAGAAGTGAAAGCCAAGAATATGAATATGCGATGAGGAGAAGACAACAAGATGGAGAGGCAAGGGCGACGAGGATTGAGCTCAGAGATCACAGATTTCGACACGAGATAACCGTTCAACAGCGGGAACAAGAAAGACTAGTTCAACAATTTAGAGATCAAGCTGAACAAGCTGAAACACTGCAAGTGAAAGAGTCTAGTTCTAGAGCTGAAGCTGGGTCTACCGGACACTTTGAAGCTCTCAAGACTGAATCCTCGCTAGTGAAAGAATCTAGTTCTAGAGCTGAGATTGAAGCTCTCAAAACTTCCAAAGTTGAACAAATCTCAACCATCACCGCCTCTCTCACAGAATTTCTTCAAGAATCTAGAGCCAAAGAAGTTGAAGAATCAAGTAAAGCTGAACACTTTGAGAGTTTGGCTGAAGAACAGCAAAGTGAACAAGCTTCAGCCATCGCTACCTCTCTAACAGGACTTCTCAAAGAATCTCAGGCCACTAAAGAAGCTTTCAGTCAAATGTTGAATCGACACACTTTTGAGGCAAAAGAACTCGAATCTGAATCATCGAAAATGTTCACAAGAGCTTCAACTATTGAAATCATGGAAACAGAATTTGAATCGATAGAACAATCAATAGCTTGAAATCAAACTTGTCAGTCAAAAAGTGGACAATGAAAAGTTGAAGCAATTCTGTCAACATATTTACAAGAAAACATTGAAGTTAATGGTATCGAAAGTATCGATTCAATGCTTTCTTTTGGATACATTCAATCACCAAGTGAACAAGGACAAGGAATCACTGAAATGACTGAAATCAAGTCATTGTCTCAACAATTTATCCATTTTCCTACAACTTCAAAAGATTTCGATTTGACAGAAAGGAAATCTTTTGTAAAATCAAATATCTTTAAGATAATAGCTTCAAAATCTTTTGATCAACAAGCTTTGTCAACAAATGAAAGCAAAGAGACGATAGATCAACAAGCTTTGTCAACAAATGAAAGTAAAGAATATTTCTCCACCTTCTTTCTCCAAAAAAGAAAAAAAAGGAAAATTTATATCTTTCTTCTTTTTTAAAAAAAAAAGAAAATATTTTAAAAAAAATTTTTTTTCGAAAAAAAAAGAAAGAGACGATCATAGATCAACAACCAATCATTAAACGGGTGCAAAGTTTTGAGAAAGTTGAGACAATTTTAAGTGAAAAGTACAAAGAACAAGAAAAACCTTCGATGATGGGAAGTAAAGAAGAGATTTCTCCTTTGAATCTATCAACAAAATCTCCGATAATCGAAAGAACATCTTTGGAATCACAGAGAGATATTGAAAGTCTTTCTTTGGATCTCTCTTTGAATCTTTCTTTGAAAGCAATGACTGAAGCTAATGAAAGCCAAGGCTTTCAGAGAACAAATTCAGAAGAGATTTCCATTGAAACAATAGAAAAACAGAAAATCAAAGTCACTAAATCAGCAAAACAGTTTTCGTTTGATGAAAGCAATTTGGAAGTGAACCTTCAACGATTGAGTGAAAAAAGGATAGAAGAGGAAGAGAAATTGTTGATGATGAGAATTGGGACAAGTTTCAGAGAAGATCAACAATTTGAGGAAACTTCTGAAAAAGTCGTCACAACTGGACTCACAATTCAATCGAAAGAAGCTCTAGCTGAGGCTGGAGAAGCTTTGAAATCGATTGTAAGAAGTAAATCAAAGCTTGACACCAGAGCGAGTTCATTTGACACGATTGGTGTAGAGATTGAAGAGTTGGCAAGAACACGAACACCTCTTGAATCCATTCATCGCTCATTGAATCAACGATCGAAGAGCTCTGAGAATTTGTCCACAAAAGAGTCGACTGAAGAGAACTCGTTGACGATCATTTCGATGAGATCTGATGAATTGAGAGCAGAGAATTTGATTGCAATTGCAAATCCCATGATGATTGATGGGAAATTTCTCCAATCAAAAGAAGAAAAAGCGACAATTCACAAACAGATCTCAAACTTACCAATAGAAATAGTGAGTAAAGAGTTTGCTGAAAGAGAAACTCTTCAAAAATCGGCGACTTTCTCGGATAATTTTGTTAAAACTGATCAAGCTCTTTCAGCAATCGACCAAATGGAACAAATTTCTTTGATTCATTCACAAATCCAACAGAATAATACTTCAAAATCAGTTCAAGAACAACTTTTTGAGGAAAAGAATTTAAGCCTAAATTTCTGTTATTTAAAATCACGGGAAGAAGCGGAAGAAGAAGAGGAAGAAGCGAGAACGATTCAACAAAATGTACAACTTGTCTCCGAGAGAAGTCTTCAAGCTCCAGGTGAAGTCACGGTCAGCGTTGAGTTTCGGATTAAGGCAAAACAAGAGCAATTGGAAAGCTCTTTCCTCAAAATCCCTTCATCTCTTCAAGCAAATTTCTCCGCGAAACAGAGCTCAAGTTCATCAATTGAAATGAACGTTGAACGAGTTGCTGAATCGTTTTCTTCTTCAACTGAAGAGTTGAAACGAGAGATTTCAAAGAGCTCTGAAAGGCTTAAAGCAAAAGAATCGAAAACTGAAGATTTTATGACTTTTGTCTCAATGTTACCTTTAAATGAAACGGCTGAGAAAGTCTCAAGAATAGCTTTGGAACTTCAAGAACTTCAACTTCAAGTCTCTTCAGGAGCTTCAGGAACTTCAAGAACTTCAAGAACTTCAGGAACTTCAAGAACTTCAAGAACTTCAAGTCCTTCAAGTCCTTCAAGAACTTCAAGTTTAATTGAAACAAAAGAAGATCAAACTTCAATGACTCGAGATTTATCTAATTTTCAAATTTCTGAGACAAAGACTGAGACAAAGACTGAGACAAAGCTGAATCTTTCTGAAGAACTTTTTGAATCGGCTAGATTTTCCGATTCAATTGCTAAAATTGACAAAAATCTTTCAGTAAATGAACTCTCCGAACAAACTTTGCAAACTTTTGCGATAAGGAACAAAGAAGAGATCAAAATGAGAACTCGAGAAGAATCGATTGAACAAGAAACACTGAATTTGAATCTTTATCGTTTAGAGCGACCAAAACTTGAGAGTTTTGAGGATTCGATTCAATTCCAGCAAGTAGAGAAACCCAAAACATTTGGAGATTTCAAAGTTTCACCCCAAGAAGTAATCAATGCCGAAATGAAAATCAAAGCTGACACAAATGATGAACAAAGTTCACTGGTCAATTCATCAAAAAACTTGGCGAAAGCTGATCTTCACACTCAACAAAGCCTCGATTCTTCGGTGATTGTTCAAGTTAATGAAGTTGTTGAAAGAGAAAGAGAAAAAGAAACAGCAGAGACTCTTCGACAACCATTAAAAAGTCAACAATTTTTCACAGCTAAAGAAGCAGGTGATGAACAATCTTTGACAATTGTATCTATGAAGCCAAAGGGACAAGTTGAGGAAAAGATTTTGATTCAAACTCCATCTCAAACTGTAACAGCTTTTATGGAAACAATCGAAAGAGAAATCTCAATTGATCGAGAGTCGGATGAGAAAATCTTGAAAGATTTGAAGCTGATAGAGAAAGTCGAAGAGTCAGCTAAGTTCTCGGATGAGAAAATCTTGGAGGATTTGAAGGTCATAGAGAAAGTCGAAGAGTCAGCCAAGTTCTCGGATGAGAAAATCTTGGAGGATTTGAAGGTCATAGAGAAAGGCAAAGAGTCAGCTAAGTTCTCGGAGGAGAAAATCTTGAAAGATTTGAAGCTCATAGAGAAAGTCGAAGAGTCAGCCAAGTTCTCGGATGAGAAAATCGGAGTTGAGTTCAAGCTTTCAAGTGAACAAGAAAGGGAAATATTTGATTCAAAGATTCAAAAGGTACAAGAAAGTGAAGAGAAAAGATTCAGAGAACAATCTTTTGAAGAAAGTAATCTTTCCTTGAATCTCATCTATCTTGAACCACCAAGGGATCAGGTTGAGGCAAGTTTGAGGGTTCAACAAATCTCATCAATGGACAAGGAAAATCTATCTACTTTAGCTGAAAGCTCAATTCAAACTGGTAGTACTATTGCTAAAGTAGCTGAAGAAGAAAGCTTGATTACTCAAGTGCCAGAAAAAGCTACAACATCATTAAAAACCCGTGGCAGTGAGAATAATATTGTTGGAGTTGACATTGGGAAAAGTGGTGCTTCACAAGAAATCTCTATTGACACTCAACAAATCGAGAAGTTGACAGAGAAGGGAAGATTGAATATAAATGAGCCAAAAAGCGATGAATCTTTGACAATTATTACGATAAAACCAAAAGATTCAATAGCTGAAAGAAAAGAAAAGAAATTGGCTTTGCAAGAAGCTCAAAGAATTACACGACACGTAGAGATTAAAGATGAAAATGCAAAAATGGAAAAAACTTTTACAAAATCTTCAAATGAAGTAATTGAGAAAATGTTTGATGAAAGGAAAATTCTAGAGGAGTCGGCAAGTTCGACAAGTCGGCAGTTCTCAGATTCTCTTGTAAAATCTGATTCTCAGTTTGTTGGATGTGAAGACAATTTGGTGGTCTATGCAAGTGAATCGGAGAAGTCACGAGAAAGCGTTTCTCATCGAATTCGAGAGCAATCTTTTGAGGAGAGTCGGCTTTTCGTGAATCTCGCTTACTTGGAGTCACCGAGAGACTCGTTTGAGGAAGATCGAACTGTTTGCAAAGAGATTTTAACGCCGAGAGTTAACTCTAATCTTTCAGCTTCTGTCGAAAAGTTGACGCAAAGTGAAAATAACATGATAAAACCTCAATCACAACAGGAAACTTCAGCCGTTCAGACACCGAAAGAATTGCTAAAAGCTTGCTTGACGACTTCACAAAGTGAAACTGATACTGTCAATGTTGAGGTGAATGAGAAAATGGAAGCTAGAGTTGACTCCATTGAGAGATTAGCGATGGAGAAGTTAAAGAACAAAGAAATGTTGTCTACAAGTGAGCCAAGAAATGTCGAGTCGTTGACAATCATTTCAATGAGATCTAAAGAATCCACTGTTGAAAGTGAAGTTCCAATTTCAGAAACAACAGTAAAAGCCTCTCGTCAATTGTCAGAAGCAATAGAGACATTGGAAATTGAAGAGATCTTCTCAAAGCTATCCACTGGAACAACAAGTCAAGAAGTCAGAGTTACAGAGAAAGAGAAACAATCTGTAAATTTTACGGATTCACAAGCCAGAGAATCGATTGAACTCTCAGCAACTGAAGTAGAGCTCTCAGCAACTAAAGCAGAGCTCTCAGCAACTGAAGTAGAGCTCTCAGCAACTCAAGCAGAGATCTCAGCAACTGAAGTAGAGCTCTCAGCAACTCCAGCAGAGATCTCAGCAACTGAAGTAGAGCTCTCAGCAACTAAAGCAGAGCTTCAAGCATTTGCAACTGAAATGGTGAAACCTAAAGAAAGCGTTTTTCAAAAAGTTCTAGAGAAATCGATTGAAGAGAGTGAACTCTCTGTGAATCTTGCTTTCTTCGAAACACCAACAGATTCCGTTGAACAACAATCTACAATTCTCTCTGGGCTTTCAACTCCTCAAACTAGCATACAGCTTTCAGCTCTTACAGAGAAAACGATTGAAACATTAAAACCTATCACTAAGCCAGAAACAGTCGAAGAAACTTCTTCTATTGTTTCTCAAATTCCAAACGAGTTACTTAAAGCTACCTTAACCACTCAACAAAGTGAAATTTCTGGAGTAGAGCTTTTAGTGAAAAGAAATGTCGAAAATAAAGACTCTATTGAGAGGATTCAAAGCGAGAAATTGAAAAGTAAAGATTTTTTGAATATTGCTGAACCTTTAAACGAAGAATCGTTAACAATCATTTCAATGAAGTCGAAAGAATCTGTTGAGAAAATTGCTGAGAAAAGATTGTCAATTTCAGAAGCATCACATTGTGTTTCTAGTAAACTAATGGAAACAAAAGAGGAATCGATCAACGCTGCACAGAGTTTAACGACTTCATCAAATGAGAAAGCTTTAAGGAATTTTGTTGAAGCACAGAAAGCAGTGAGCTTTGGGGAATTCTCTGATCAAGCGATTCAAACCAATGCTGAACTCGTTTTTTCTGAAAAACAATATGAAACACTTAGCCAACAAGAAAGACAAAAAATCAATGTCTCAAAAAGTGTTCAAGAACAATTATTGGAGGAAAAGCAACTCGCGTTGAATCTCTCATTCTTGGAGAGACCAAAAGGGATCGATGAAGAAGCAGTCACTCTTCTAAGAGGCATTCCAATAACAAAAACTAGTGGAAAGGCTACTTTTACAGAGAAATCAATTGACACTTTGAAAGAATTAGAGAAAATCGGAGATGATCAGAAATGTCAGATCAGATCAGAACTGTCAGATCAACTCTTAAAGGAATCTTTGAAAGCTGAACTAACGTCTCGACAAAGTGAAACATCTTCAGTAGAACTTCAAGTGCAAGAAATGGCAAAGTCTCCACAAGATTCTACGGAAATTCTCAAACATGAGAAGCCGAGAATTGGAGAAACTTTGAGAGCACAAGTTGCTGAAGTTGCTGAAGAAGTTGCTGAAGTTCCTAAGGTTGCTGAAGTTGCTGAAGTTGCTGAAGTTGAGTTGCTGAAGTTCCTAAGGTTGCTGAAGTTGCTGAAGTTGCTGGAGTTGCTGAAGTTCCTAAGGTTGCTGAAGTTGCTGAAGTTGCTGGAGTTGCTGAAGTTGCTGAAGTTCCTGAAGTTCCTGAAGTTCCTGAAGTTGCTGAAGAAGAAACGTTGGCTTTAGTGTCTACAAAAGCATTAGAACTGGGAGCTGAGAACAGAATCCCAATCCCAAATCCAGTAGAAATAATCGAATTGAACTTGATTTCAGCAAAAGATGAGAAAACAGAGATATTCAAAGAGTTATCACTGTCATCAGAACAAGTTGTAAGTCAAGATTTTGCTCAAAAACATAAAGCTCAAACAATCGCAAGATTCTCGGATCAAATTGCAGAGGCTGAGTCTCAATTTTCCAAGCCTTTTCAAGAAAATCAAGCAAATATTCAACAAAGTGAGCCATTACTTGAGACTCAATTAAGTACAATTCGACAACAATTTGAAGAAATTGATCAAAATTTAGCTATTTCATTCTTAACACCTAGAAAAGAAGAAAGCCTTGAGTCTTCATTACAAATTGATCACTCAAAAAAGATTGTTGAAGCTCATTCTGTAAAAGCTTTAACTTTAAAAGAATCAGATACTGATGCTAGCATTGAACACAAAGCTCAAGAAGTCGGGACTCAAAAAGATGTTGATGAAGGACTGAAAGAGAGCTCGACACTTGCCACTTTGGCTTCAACGACTGAACAGGCTCATGTTGATCGTCATTTGGATCATTGCGAAGCTAAAGCTTTCACCAAATTAAGTCCACAAATGGAAATTGTCAAGGATGAATTATCGTTGAAAGAATTCGGTGATGAACAGACGACTTTGTTCTGTTTATCGACAAATGTTGAAGATGAAGCTAAACTCGTTCTGCCAATCAATCAACTTCAAAACCCATCACTTTTACAAGTCCTAGCCCCATCGAATCAGAAATTAGAGTCTGATTTTGAACTAGAATTTGAGTCAAATCAACAAACACAGATACAGCTCAAAGAAATACAAAAAGAGAAATCAAGTGAAAGATTCTCTGACGATAAATTAGAAGCTGATTTGAGTTTGTTGAAAGATGGTGAAGAAGAAGAAGAAGAAGTGATCTCTACTCAAGCAACGATTCCAAATGAGATTTTATCTCAAAAATTCATTGAGGAATGTAATATTCTTGAAAAACAAAACGTTTATGGATCGGTATTGGAAAGACGAAAAGAGGAAGATTTAGAGGAAAGCAAATTTTTTGCACAAGTCAGAAAGGAGTCGAACAATTTGAGCGTGAAAATGGCTGAAGAGGGTTTGAAAGCTGTTGGGAGTGTTCAGATGGAGATACCATTTGAGGAAAAGGGTTTAGAGTATAAAATGACATTCGTTGAACAAGAGGAGATTCAATTAAAAGCTCCAGTGCCAAGTGATGAAAGAATCGAAGCTTCGGACGATTTTGTGAAAGGAGTTGAAGCGATGGATATTCAGAGAATGATGGTTGAGTCGTTAAAAGAGGAAATGGCTTTGAAATCTAGAGAAAGTCTCGAAGAATCACTTTTCACTCTTCTTAAGTCTCAATCTTCTAGCGAAAAATCAGAGAAGATTATGAAAGAATCTGAAAATATTGCTGAGGAATTGAACGCTTTATCAATTACAGAAGAATATTTAGCTTTAGATTTAGCTTTAGATTTAGCTTTAGATTCATCAATTCAGAAGAAGCAATTCAAATTTGAATCTGATATTCTTATACCTATAAAATTAAAAGAAAAAACATCAATATTGAAATCAATTGAACAAATAAATACCCAGATTTTATTTGAAAATCAATTCTCAAAAGATTCTCAAAAAATAGAAAAACAACTAGTAGAGAGAAATAGAGATGAGATATCAAAAGATCTTCAAGAGTTCTCAAAGAAAGAAATTAACATTGAAACGATTGGATCAACCATCGAAACACCACAACAATCAAATGAACAAATTGAGAAAAGTTTTCCAGAAACTAGAATTTTAAGTGAAAAGATTGATACAAATGCAATAAAAGCTGAACAAACAGATCTCACACTTTCTCTTCAACAATCTGAGAAATCTGAGAAATCTGGGCAAATTTCTGCGAGCAGAATTGATCTCATTAAAACCAGTGCCGGGGTTTCGTTGAAAGAAACAACGACTTTTGATGAAGTGTTTTCAGGGGATCTTCAACCAGCATTTTCTGAAGGAGATTTGATGACAATCTCTGAGATGAGTCACACCCAAGTACACCAAATTGTCAGCACAATGAAAGAAGCGAAAGAAGAGGAAAACTTTTTGGCGATTGGCTCAAAAGTGGCAGCTGAGAGAGTTGAAAAGAGTGTTTTTGAGAGAGAAATTCTTAAGGATACTTTGGACACTTTAGCGAGTACAGTGGAAGAGTCAATGAAAGAACAAAGTTTGAGAAATGTTGAAGAATCGGCTTCTCATGAAGCCTCTCTTGCACAGAAAGAGGCTGATGTGGCTGAGCGGAGCTTCAAGGACACCACGATGGCCACTGAGGTCATTGAGGCCACTGAGGTCATTGAGGCCACTGAGGCCATTGAGGCCACTGAGGCCATTGAGGCCACTGAGGTCATTGAGGCCACTGAGGCCATTGAGGCCACTCAATCAATGACTCAAAGTGACAAAATCAAGGAAGCGTTGAGATCGATCGCCATCGGGAATCTTGAGAAAAGAGAAGAGAACTTTATTGAATACACAAGAGAGAAATCCGAGACATTGGCCGGTGTTGATCAGCTCGTGCGACCAGAAGAGCAACACTTTGATGAGCAACGAATTCTACCATTAACTCAAACTATTGTCGAGAGTTTACGGTGTGAATCGATGAAAATTGAAGATCAAGTGATTGAGTCAAGAATTGGGAAAGCTCATGAAGAAGCTGGTTTTGAGAAATCGCACAAAGAGGTGAGCAAAAAAACGGTTGATGGAAGAATGATGGCTTTGAAATCAGAAGATATTCTTGCTGAGGAAAAGCTTGAGAAATTGGAGAGTCGTGTAGAAGTGGAGGTTTTAAAGAGAGACAAATCTTCTGATCGAATCAATTTTGAAGGCATTGAAAATGTAAAACCGAAATCTGAGGAGACTTTCGCGTTTGTAGAGACACTTTCAAAAGATGCAAAGATAGAAAAAACATTTTCTGATGTTGATCTTTCATTGAACTCTCTTGAAATAAAAGCTCCAACTTTAGAAACAATAAATTTCGAAACGAATTTTTCAATTTCATTTGATGATGGGAAAACTGGGAAAACGATTGCTGATTTTGTTTTTGAATCCAAAAAAGCTGAAGCAGAGAAACAATTAAGAATTGTAACCAATCAACAAAACATTTCCTTGAAAAATCAATCAACAAAAGAACAAAACGTTGAAGCTATTCTCTCTGAACAACAAGAAGAATATCTTGAGGTGGAAGCTAAAGAATTTATTCAAAGTTTGTCAAAAATTGAGCAAAGCTATTCAAAGATACAACCACCAAAGGAACAAGAAGAGGAAATTGGGAAAACGTTTGCTGATCGAAATGTATCAAGACAAAGATTGGCAACGAGATCGGCTAGTTTAATCGATTCGATCACTGAGGAAATGCTTTCAACGACGAGAAACTCGAGAAACATCAATTGATTATCAATATCGGGAAAAATCTCGGCAAACCATTGCGAATAACTTTCGAGCATCGAGAGAAGCCTCGACAATGTCATTGGTGAATCTAGACTTCGAGCAATCTTTGCAACACACCGAGAACTCGATGAAACAATTGATGAGATCGAGATCAATGATCACTTTACGCGAAATCCCGAGCAAAAGTGAAGACTTTATAGCAGCTTTTGTTACATCGGAAAAGATCACTGAAGGTGTGTCTGGGATTCGGAGGAGTCGCTCGTTGATCAGAGAACAGAGATCTCTATCAACGAAAGCTCCTTCGATTGAACAGATCAATTTCGAAAAGATTTTGAGTCGAAGTGAATCGATGAATGCTGAGAAAAGCACAGCTTCGAAGCAGAAAATCGACGAGAAAGCCGAGAGAAATTATCGAATTGTGAGAAGCAATTCGGAGATGCGAATCGCTAAAGAAAGACATGATGATGGAAGGATTGAAGGGAAACTTCGAGAACAACTCAAATCACAGAGTTCAATTAATTTCAAAACCAAAGAATTTCAAAGAAGTCAATTTGATTTAAACCAAAGCTTGTCAAAGAGATCGATTCAAAATCTAGCAACTGGACTGGAGTTGGTCACTTCAAGAGTAGCGGAATCAAAACTTCAAATGAAAGCTTCTGAAATGAGAAGAATCGATTCACAAACAAATTTGGAAAGAAAACCGCCAATTTGTGAAATGGGAATCACAAGGAGGTTGGCAAGGAAAGAAAGTTTTGAGAAAAAAGTGCTCGCTTCGAGAGAATCAAGTCTCTCGGCGGTTGTCAGATTGAACTCTGAAACACTTCAACGGATGGGCGCACAGATTGTTCAAATCCCATTACAGAGATCGAAATCAATGGCCTCTTTGAGAGAAATACCACAAGTGAGCGAGAACTATGCTTGTGCATTTGTGACAACTGAAGAGAATGATGAAGGAGTGATGGTGAGGAGAAGGGAAAGATCACTTGTGAGCGAGAGACATTCACTCAATACAAGAGCTGCTTCTGTTGAATCGTCGCTTATCGATGTCTACAAGAATCAAATTATTCAAGAGAGTTATACGAAAAATTTACCGGAAAAGGAGAAAGAGAAAGCTCAGCGAAAGTTTGAATTGTTCAACGTCAAGACTGACACTTTTATAGAAGCTGATTCAAAAAGAGTTGATTCAAGAGAATTGGTGGAAAATATTGTAAATGAAAAAGTTGCCGATCAAGTGAGTTTCCGGCTAAAAGAGCAACAAAGTGTGGAAGCTGGGCTTTCCGGATTTTCAAAGATTTCTCCAAGAAAATCGGAAGCTCAAGAAGTAGATGTAACTCTTGAAGAACAAGTGAAACTTGGTGATAAGCTTCAAACAAAGGCTTCTATTTCATCAGTAACTTTGAAAGATCTCAACATTGAGAGAGTAGAGAAAATGGGAGAAGAGGAAATTGTTGTTCGTCAGAAATCAGAGCTCGCCGAGCAAGCTTTGAAAAATTTTAGCGATCAGAAAACGAAAACTGAAGAAAAGTTGATCGCTCAAGACAAAACTGAGCCAGTTGATGTGAATTTGAGAGAAAAGCTCAAAGATTTTCAAAATCTTACATTAAAAGAGAGCCAAGACGAGTCCTCTCATCTCTTTGTTTCCACAAATCTTCAAGACAACGATTCTTCTTTAAAAGTTCGCCTATCAGAGTTGGAGCAAATCGAAGCCAAACTCAGCGCTCCATCCAATGAAACCGTTGCAGCAAGTGTTGATTTGAATGCAGTGAATAAGCTGAGAGCTGAGAATGAAATCCCATTCATTCCATCGGAAGCTGTTGATTTTAAATACGGACATTCGCAAGAAACAACTTTAATCTCAATGGAAAGAGAACATTATCGAATGGCTGAAGAAACAAAAGCCGATTCATTCTTTGACTCTTCAGAGATGAGATTGAAAGAGTTCGGTGAAAAGAAACTTGGCACTTTGGCAAATCTCGGTTATCTCGAACCAAAAAAGCCAGAATCACAAGAAACCGAAATCGAATTTCCACAAGATTTACGTCAATCGTTATCACTGCGAATGTCAGCACCAGTTGAATCGAAACAAGAATGCACATGTAATCTGGTCAGGGAAATGGCTCAAAAAGAAGCCGTTCGTCAGCTTAAAGAGAGAATCGGAGCAAGCACTGATTTAAAAACCGCAGCTATCGTTCAAGAAGTGATCATGATGATGTGTGAGGTGCATCGAGTGACTGTACGTGATCTTTTGTTCACCGAGCAATCAATTCAAGAGAAAACTCGGGCACAAAGTGAGGGAAGATTCTCAGAAATGCGCGAAGAAAATCTTTACGGTTTTTGGAGCACAAATCTCAGTGAGCATGCGGATAAGTTGTTGAAATCACCGCTAAGATCAGCTGACTCGGTTTCCCTGGCTTCTTTAGCGTCAAGTGAAGAGACATCGATTGCCGAAGCTGTCTTGAATCGACGACCATCATTGGCTGTTGATATTGTGCTTCGTTCAGCTGCTAGAGAAGCTAATGTCTCGAGTTTAGGCTTTGAAAGAGCCGAATTCTCGCAAACTTTCAAATCTGAGCCTTTTGATGAAGAGGCAACTTTTGAAGAACTGAAATCAACTGAAATCCAGAAATGCACTCTTAAACAACTTGAAACAATCAATGAGCTCAATAATGAAAAAACGAATTTAAAAGTTATTGTAGGAAAACTTGAACAGAAACAACAGAAAGAACATTCAGCTGAAGCTATCAAAATCTCAACAAGTAGTCAAACTTTGCATTGTGATTTCAAATGGGCAATTGAATTTGAGAAAATAAGAATCTTAGAAGAGAATCGTCTCTTGAAGTTAGCGGTAACCGATGCAAGTCAGCTAGAATCTGAGCAGAGATTTGAAATGATTGGTGAGATGAAATGTGTAAGGAAAACCCAACTACAACCAATTCCAGAAGAACCGACAGCACTTGCAACAATGGCCACCGATTATCAACGATTGACGGTTTCTGAAAAGAGAGAGCTCAGCGAGGAGAGGACTTTCATTGAGACAAGATCTTCTCAGACAGAGCTCACCATTGTTGAAGCAATTGAATCGATTCTGGAAGCAAGCCTGCAAAGATCACAAGCACAATCATATGCTGATGTCACGAAAGATGCTTTGAATCTGAAGAATGAAGTCTTCTCTACTCAAGCCACGATTTTGGAAGAGATCGCTCTTCAGCTTCAACGAGCAAAGTGTGTTGAAGGAGAGACGAGTCAATCTGTAAAAGAAAGTGAGCGAGAGAAAGCGACAAAAGCTTATAAAGAATTGATTGAAGAGATTCAAGGCTTGACAACAGTTTGGGACGTCGTTCAAACAAATCAAGAAGCAAAAGCGCAATGGAAAGAGAAAAGAGATGAGACGAAAATGTTGAATGTGCAAGCGCCGAAGCAAGAGTCGATCAATTTAAGTCAAGAGTTTGACAAGATGACACAAGGTGAAGCAAACTATCAACTAATGGAGAAAATTGTGGACTCACAGCGAGCTCAACGCCAATTCAGCCTCGATGAGCACACATTCGACTCGAGATTCTCGAGAGAATCCTCGAGATCGGAAACAACGTTCACAATCGATACCCACGTTGAGGGGAGTGTGGAGAGACGTTTGAAAGAGTTAGGTGATGAAGAGATTGTGACAAGTGGCCTTTTTGGTCGAATCTTTAGTCGAGAAGCTGAATCCGCTGAATCGATGTCGACATTCGATGACGCGAGAACATTCCGACAATTCTTGAGAACCCTCGCTTCACAGAATATCTCTTCATCGATCATTCATGAGCTCGATCGTTTACCTGAGTGTGATCAAAGTATTCACAATATACAAGTCAAAAATATTCTCCGAAAAGAGGCTCAATTCTTTGCGAGTCGCGAGACATCGGTTGAACAAATGATTGAAGATTTCCAGAAAGCTCTCGAACATCGTGAAGCTTTAATCGAATTGCAGCAGAAGAATAGAGAAAAAGTCGAGAAAACAGCTCTCCCAACAGAAGAGAATATGAGTTTCTCGAACTATGAAACGATTGTGAATGATTTGAAAGAAAGTAAGACATTCAGAGAGATGAGTTTAGAAACAAATCAAGCTTCGATCAAAGCTCCAATTCATTCCGAGATTGGCGCCTATATGTCACTTGAAAAGGCGGCTTATCGTCAAGCGCAAATCGAGAAACCGTTGAAAAGAGGTGAATCGGTGGATAAACGCTTCGAGATTGAGATTATAAATGTGGAAATCTTGGAGAGAAGTCGTGAATCTCAGCCGAAAGACATCGAAGCGAGAATCGATTTCAGAGGAAAAAGCGAAGATCGAAATGTGGCCACATTTAATGAATATTCTGAAAAAACGATTGAGATTTGCAATTTGTTCGGACGAATCATTCAGAAAAGATTTGAAGCGGAAGATGTGGAGAAAAATCGACCGCAAGCAAGGAAATGGATAGAAGAGCTGAGGAAAGAAGCTGCGCAATTCATCCAAATCTCAAGCGATTTCGACCTCAACTCGACGAAAGTCGACGAGTTGACGACGAAAACGCAGAAAGAATGCGTTAAGCTTGTGTCAAGCTGTCATTTAAATGCAATGAAAGTTGAGAATGTGAATTTCTGTCAAGAATTTCGTAAAGAGTTATGCGAATTGTTTGCTGAGATTACAGTAAAAGAGAGAATGTTTGAGAGAAACATTCTCAAGTGTAAGCAATTGGATTGGAGTCAGCGATTGACTGATTCGACTTGGGAGACAATTCTTGATGAAATCGAGACTGAATATCATCAAAAGCTAGCAATCACTGAAAGAGAAAGTCTTCAGATAAAAGTGAGTGAAGAGATTCGGAAAGATTTCTCTGTTGAAGAGATTCGAAAAGATTTCCCTGTTGAAGAGATTCTTCGATCAACCCCTGCTTTCACTACTTCATCAGTTGACGGGAAAAGTCTTCTCACTACTGAAAGCGAGCCAATGATTAAGTGTGAGACATCACTTAGACATGAGGATCTCTTCACTGAAGTCGAATCACTTCTTCAAGAGAAAAGACACGAAGAATGGAAAGCTGATTTCCCTGAATTTCTTGAAGAAGAGATCAAAGCTGGTGTTCAATTGGTAAAGAAATCTTTGCCAAAACCAAAAGAATTAGTTGATCATGTGATTCATGTTGATACCTCGTTTAAACAAGTGATGAACACAGTGGCTGTTAAAGAGTCACAAGCGTTTGCTCAGCTTGAAATTCGGGGAAAGCAAAGAGGTGACGAATCTACATCAACTAGTAGAAAACAAAAGGTGAAAGATCAAGTGATTCTGCACTCAAAACAGAGCTTTGATGTCTCAGCTGAGGCAAGTAAATCATTGACAAAACAACAATCATTTCAGCAAGAAACAATTCGTACTTTTAAAGCCGCTTTACGCGAGAAAAGCGTTGAGCATTTTAAAGAGTTAGACAATGACGAATTCGAGATTTTATCTGAATATATTGGTGTTTATCGTGACCTTGACGCTGAGATCTCCATCCGTGGACTAGGAAAATTGAATTCGTCTTTCGTTTTCTCAACTCCAACATCGACTGAAGAAGTGATCACCCTGAACACTTTTAAAGAACGCTTTGTGGCCAGCGCCGAGACAAAGATCACTCTCAAATTCACCCCAAAAGACTCCTTTGTTCAAAAGCTTTCTGTTGCTGATTCTCGAGTGGAGTGTTCGCTTGTTTCCTCTCACAAATCATCTCTCGATTTCACTTGCACACTTTCTGGCAAAAACTTTGAGTATTACGTTGGAAAGTTTCACGAGACGAGCGAAACCCAACTTAAGGCTATTATAAATTTACATCGTGTTGACATCGTTCGTCCCTCGCAAAAGAATGAGGTGATTCTCGCAGAAATTCTTTCAATTTCAGTAGAACCATTACGCATCCAAGGAGTCGATAAATCTGTCATTCACTCGGTTGAGCTGAAGAAAGAGGCGATGATGTTGAGGATTGATCGAATGATTGTGGCAACGAATCGAGGAGAGTCGATGAAAAAGAGTTTCAAAGAAGCTGGTGATGAGAGAACAAAGCTTGCAGTGGAATTGATTGGGAAAAAGGGTGGACAAGAGTTTTTGATCAAAGAATGGAGGATTCCAAATGAAGTTAAAGGGGCGAGTCTCGAGGTTGAGGAGTTTGGTGATGAATCGTGTGTACTTTATGCTCAAATCAATGACAAACATCAAAACTTTGATGAGACGGAAATAGAGAAGAAGATTTCGAGAACACATGAAGGTGTGAAATTGATCACAAGAGCTTCGACTGAAATAACAGCTATCATCAACAATTCTTTTGAGATTCCTGAATTATTTGAAGAAGCTAAGAAATTGATTGTAATTGGTAACAAAGGTGAATCTCTTGTTGTTAGATACAAAGAGTCACAAGAAAATCACACAGCGATCGGTCAAATCTTCAACATTCAACCAGAAACTCACATTCATCATGTGACAGTCAATGATAAGAGATTCGGTGGTCAATACAATTTATCAAAGAAAGCATCATCTGATGTGTATCGTGAGCTTACACAAGCTTTAGTACGAAGCGGTTTTCTTGAACACATTCGTCATCGATATGTTCAGAAACAAAAAGCTCAATTATCTATGAGAGTTCTTGAATCGACAACTGTTCAATTCGAGACGACAGAACGTTTCCAAAAGAGTGAACAGAAAGCTTCTTTCGACTCTCTTCGTCGATGTGCTCAGACTTGTTCTCCAGCTTTCATCAAGTTGCGCGAACTCTCCGAAACTCAAACCACAACTTTCTGCTCTTTCCAGAAACCTCAATCTATTGATTATCTCTCAAAAATTTATGCAATTCCTCGAATCGAAAGACAACTTTTAAATTGTGATGCTGCCGAGGAAAACGAGATAAAATCTTCTCCCGAACTCTCTAAACCGTTCGAATTTAAAACGGTCGACATTCTCGTTGTCGATTTCAATCATACCCCTCCACTATCCCTTTCCACTAAACAAGCGACAATTGAGATCAAAACAATTCCCACGAATTTCTTGCGCGAACCCGCACCTGCACAAAGCGCACAACTAACAATCACAATTGCAAATCAATGTTCACCCATAAAAATTCATGTTAAAGAAAGTCGCGAAGAGAAGCAAACGACTTGCGCGCAATTCTCTGTGCCATCGCTTACCTCTCAAATAGAAATCACTCGTAAAATCGCGATCTTTGGTGGAAATTATCGAAAAAGATTCGATGCATGTGAAGAGCATGAAATCAGTGTGAATCGAGAACTAATCACCGCAAAACCTTTGACGATTCATTGTTCACAAGCGGCGATTCGTCTCACCAAGGATAAAGCCATTTTCTTTGCTAAAGCTTCAACCAATATCAGAATTAACATTTTTGAAGATTATGTGAAAGTGTGCAGTAAAGAAGCAATCGAAAGACTCTTTAATGCGCCTAATCTGAGTGTTATCGAGCGACGATTGGTTGAAGCTGTGGACACACTAGAAATTCTAAATCCAATCTATGTAAAAGAAGAACAACATCACTATTTAGACAAGGTTTTGCGAGAAGCGAGAGACGGAGGACGACAAGACTTTAATGTGAAAGCGACACAAGAGAAAGCGATCGAGACAACGATTGAGTTGAGCAATCAACGATTGGCAAGAGGAGAGATCGAGATCAAAACCATTGTGCCAAACACAGCGAAATCATTGGCCTATCATGCAAGTGCTTCGGGCAACGCGATCTCTGTAATCTATCAACAATTGTCGAAATCATCGGAAAGAGAAACCATTCGCGAAGTGATTCACGCGAAAAACAAAGGACAATCGATTGCTTTCAAGGTGAAAGAGAGCAAATCCGAGCAACAGACAACGAATGTTCATTTAAGTAAAAGAGAATCATTTTTGAGCCAAGAAAAGTTGATCATTGAGGCTAGATTTGGTGGATCGTTTAAATTGACCTCAATTGCTACTTCGTTCAAAGAAATCACCGTCAATGTGGACACACAAAAACAGAAACCAACCTCATTGTTAGCTGAGAATTTGAAGATTATTGGAAACAAAGCAGCTCCGATTGATTTCCGAACAATTGCCACTTCCAATAAGATTTGTGAAATCTATACAGTGTTAAATAAAGCAAATCAATCTTATGAGGAAAATATAAAGATCTCCGCGCCAAACAAAGGTCAAATCACTGTTTTCACGGCCAGAGAAACTTCACAAATTCATGAATCAACAAATTTGGCTTATCAAAAAGATCCACAATCAGACACTTTATTAAAAACGATTGTAGAACGCCGTTTTGGCGGCGCTTTATCATTGTCGACTTCTTCTAGCAAAGAATCTCTTTCTTCTCTATCCGGTCAATTGACTTCCACTCGATTGGCTGCAATTGACGTACAAAAGCTTATCATTTGTCCAAATCTTGCTACTCCACTTGTTCTATTTGCTCATTCAAGCACACAGAAGACAATTGACATTGGGTATGTTTGGGAGAAGCCAGCTTCTATTGAAGAGACACGCATCTCCGTTCGCGATCACAACAAAGCTCAACCCGTCAAATTTCGTGCCATTGAAGCCGGCGAAGTTCAAGAGAATCTCACCGTTCAGCTCAATCGTTCAGCATCAACCAATGTCGCAGAGAAAACAACTCAAATTCCGAATCAAAGCGCTCAAATTGCTCCTCTTAAAAAGTACGCAGCCGGTGATCGGCATGTGCAAATCGCACCGCACCTCGAAAACCCAAAACCGATTTTATTGAGCACTGCGGTGACGCTCACCGCGCGCAACACGGCACAATCACAGCAATTGCACTGCGCGTGCGCACTTTATGCAACCACATCGACTTCGGTTGATCTTTGCCGCACTCAATACCACGAGAAAGTGGACAGCTTACGGCTGACCGCACACACGCATCCACCAGTCAAAAGGGATTTCAATGAATCCACCTCTTTTCACATTTTGGCTAATTTCATGTATGCACGAGAAGAGAAAAAAGAGATTTTTGCAGAAACGAGACGAGAAGCGAATTATGGAGGGAATTTTGTGCTGCGGACGAATGCATCAAAGTCGTCCGATGTCGTCGTCGAGGCAACGATTGCTAAGGAAAAAGTATTAGAGATGAATGCGGAGATTAAGAAAATCATTGCGAACAAAGCGAATCCGTTGGAGAAATTTGCTTCCGCTACACAAGAAACAATCACCGGCGCCACTTGTCAATTCCAAAAAACAAATGCTCACGAGACAACAGTCGAAAAGATTATCGCTAAACGGATTGGAGAACCGATTTCGAGAGCGGTCAAAGAATCGACTTCGCTGGAAATTGTGAACAATATTCAGTGGAAACGAGAAGACGAGCATAAAGAAATCGATTTGACAGTGAAAATCCCGCAAAATGGGGGACAATTGAAATTGGAAACGAGGAAAGCCGAGGAAAAATCGTTGGACATTCACCCAATTTATGAGAGAAAATCGTCGATTCAAGAAACTATGACAGTAAAGACAACATCGAACAAAGCTCAACCGGTTTCTTTCTCCTCCGGTGCATCTTCTGAACGCTCAAGTTCCACCGATCACAATGTCGTCAATCCAAAACCCTCAACAGCATCTGCATCGATTGTTATCGTTGACAAGAATCGCGCACAACCCGTTACGATGAGAGTCAGTGAGTCGAAAGAAGCGGATGTGTCGATGAACTTTGCTCTAGTCAAGGAAGGAGTTAGAGATCTTCAGGCAGAGATTACAAAGGATGAGCCAAGATTTGGAGGATCGTTGACAATCGGATGTAAAGCGGCAAAAGAAGAGAAACCAGATACGGTGAGTCGAACATTCACAAAAGAGGAAGGCAAAGAGAATTCGGAGAAGATTCTAAAAACATCGAGAGATGAGAAGATCTTCTTTGGAAGTAAAGCCACACAAGAATTGAATGTATCGATTGAGATTTCGATTGAGAGTGCGAGAGCGGCAAAGCTCGAAAACAGCAATCAGATATCGGAAACGGTGCGAACGATCGGAAATCTAGAAAAAGCGGCTCATGGATCAAGACAAGCTGAAGAAAAAGAGATCACAATACATCATGAATTGAGAAATAAAAAGCTTGATGATAAAAGATTCAGCGAAGAAGAAGCTGATCGAATGATTCCGATTCAAAACAAAGAACAAGAGAGTTTCGGCTGTCGATCCACTGAAGAACATCATTATTCAATTAATTGCGATTTCAGCCAACAAACTACAAGCTACAATGTGACAATCTCTTCAGAAATCCCGAGCATTGGAGAAGCGATTGGGGTGAAATGTGAAGCTGCACAGGAAACCGAGTTCACATTGGATCTCGACATTCGCAAGGGTGGAGCTGCTGATTGGCCGTCGGAAGGATTACGGCCATTGAGTGAAGAAGAAGAAGCTGAATTGAGAGCAAGGAGGAGTCAAGAAGAGATGTTCAATTTGAATTTAGACATCAATCAGCAGACGACTGAGTTGATCGCGTCGAGATTGGAGCACGTTGCCGGCACACATGAGCCAGCCGGTTTCGGCGCTCGACGCTCGCAAGAAGTACACTTCCATATGAATATGGAGTTGACAAATCAAGGGACACAATTCCGATCAAAGGGCGAATTCGCGGAATGGTGTGTGGCGGAGACGGAAAAGATGGAGTTGAGCACGAAAGGAGTGGATAGAGATGAGATTCGGAGAAGGGAAGAAGCTAGGGAAATGGAGAGATTGAGACATGAAGAGTCGATACAAGAAAGGGAGAGATCCGTCTTGGAGGAGATCGCGGCATTGGGTGAGAGTCATAGGGGTTTCTCTTGAGTCATACGTTTCTAAAGCGTCATTTTTCGAGAACTATCGTAATCTTTTTTTCAGTTGATCTATTTTTTATATCTTTCAGTATCCTTTTTTTGAAAATTTCTATCTTATTTGATTTTAGATTTCACAAAGGCATCGAAAGATCTAAAAAGTAGATAATCAGTTAAGCTGAATAGCTGAATAACGTTATTCAGCTTAACTTATAGATTAGGGTAGACTACAAAGTAAGTATTGTATTCAAGATTACGATAGTTTTTCGAAAGTAGAAACGTTTTAGAAAACACTTTACTCAAAAGGAACATCTTTTATTCAAAAAAAGAAAATTTTTGAAGACTTTACAGAATTTTTGGAAAACATTTGATTAGCTAAGATTAATTTAAAATTTATAATTAATGATAAGGTTAATGATAGGGTTAATTATAGGGTTGATGATAGGGTTGATGATAGGGTTGATGATAGGGTTGATGATAGGGTTGATGATAGGGTTGATGATAGGGTTGATGATAGGGTTGATGATAGGGTTGATGATAGGGTTGATGATAGGGTTGATGATAGGGTTGATGATAGGGTTGATGATAGGGTTGATGATAGGGTTGATGATAGGGTTGATGATAGGGTTGATGATAGGGTTGATGATAGGGTTGATGATAGGGTTAATGATAGGGTTAATGATAGGGTTAATGATAGGGTTAATGATAGGGTTAATGATAGGGTTAATGATAGGGTTGATGATAGGGTTGATGATAAGGTTAATGATAAGGTTAATGATAAGCTCAATGACAAGCTCAATGACAAGCTCAATGACAAGCTCAATGACAAGCTTAATGACAAGCTCAATGATAAGCTCAGCGACAAGCTCAATGACAAGCTTAATGACAAGCTTATTGATAAGCTTATTGATAAGCTTAATGACAAGCTCAATGCCAAGCTTAATGACAAGCTTAATGACAAGCTCAATGAAAGCAATGAAAGTTAATGAAGTAATGACAGCTCAATGATAAGCTCAATGACAAGCTCAATGATAAGCTTAATGATAAGCCTATTGATTAGCTTATTGATAAGATAGGTATTTATCGAAAAACCTTCAAGTAAAATCTTTAAAAACTTTCTTATATATTAAATAAAATATATTTACATATTCGATTTTTTTTTCTACAAAAATTCAAGGGGACACACGGTGCGCGCGTGGCCAAAAAAATTCCACACACACTCATCCCAATCCGATTTTATTTTTCACCCAAAACTTTCAATTTACAACAATTTTAGCATGTTTCCAATAGCAAAAAAACCCAACAACTTACCGTATTTCTTCGAATAGAAGACCGGGTAAAGAGTATCATCGCGTACTCCTGCGTAGCAGCCCTTTTTAAAATTTCTTTTCTGCCAAAAAGCTTTCAAGCAAGTGCTATAGAGCTGGAAAATGGCTCAAAAATGACTCAAAAATCTGTTAGCTCATGTGGTATTTTTGAGCCATTTTCCAGCCCGATAGCCCTGATTGAAACTTTGAAAAGAAATTTTAAGAAGGGCTGCTAGCCTGAAATACTTCTTTTTCGGTCTTCTATTCGAACAAATACGGAATTTTTTCTGAATTGTTTTTTCATTTTTACAAATCCCCACTGACTCTTTTATTTTTTTTTTTTTTGGATAACAACGAAACAACAATGAGAGCCGTGCCGTGTGTCTCCCCTAGGCTCTCAGAAATTTGAGAAACTCAGCTAGCATTCAGCTAACAACTAGTTCTTAAATGATGATTTGTTTTTGCAGAACGTGCTGGAGAGACGGTAATCCTTCTCGATTCAACGGTGATATGTGACCAAACATTGCACGATCAACACATCGAAGTCTCACAGAAAGATTCGTTGAGGTGGGAAACGAATTTTTGAATCGAAGTTTTTAAATCGAATTTTCGAAATATCGATTCTACAGGGTCACCAAGAATTACCGCGACAACTTTTTGGAAAACTATCTGGGAAATGTCTAATTTATTTCAAAAGTGTGGCAAGTGCTATACAGAGAATTGTAGGCCTAATTCTTGGCAACATTTATCTACCAAAAACATCCCGATTGGACTTATGCAACTCATTTAACAAGCGCTTGAATGAGCGCTAGTCGACATCTCTCCGGCGAATCTGTCATTTGGCCACTTTTCTAAATGAAAAAATATCATATCACTTGACAGTATCTTTAAATTAATGATTAATTAATTAAACAACTTGTTGCTATCAACGATAGCGAAGTTGCAGTATGCCTAATGGACCATAGAGATTTGATATCACTTTACAGTATCTTTAAATTAATGGTTAAAGTAATTGCTTGTAAACAAAAGGTTGAGGATTCAATCCAGGTTCAATCTAATCTACAATTCTTTCTTTATTACAGCTTTTTCGAGATACGCATATGAAATGAATATCGATACTCAAAATACTCAACTTTCCCTGCTCCTCCAAAAGGAGCTTGACATCAACTTAAATTTTGGTTATGCCAGTCCAGCCAAAACAAAACAGCCATTTAAGTGTGATTCCTAATGTTATTAAGTAATATTAAACGCTATTTTTGCATTGAACAAATATTGAAAACCTTTTCTTAATAATTTTTAATAGAGAAAAGTGGCCAAATGACAGATTCGCCGGAGAGATGTCGACTAGCGCTCATTAAAGCGCTTCTTAAATCAGCTCTATTAGTCCAATTGGGATGTTTTTGGTAGATAAATGTTGCCGAGAATTAGGCCTACAATTTTCTGTATAAAACTTGCCACACTTTTGAAATAAATTAGACATTTCCCAGATAGTTTTCCAAAAAGTTGTCGCGGTAATTCTTGGTGACCCTGTAGAATCGAGAATCTAAAGAAGCCTTAATATAGATATGATTTTGAACCTTTTTAACTACAAATCTTTACTAAAAGTTGTCTACTATGGCTATTCATAGTGGAATTTTTAAGGCACAAATCCCCTGATGCAATGAACCTACCGTAAATACTGTAATAGTACCCCACCCCCATAATGACGGTGCGGAGTGTTGCGTAGTCTGGCTTTGAACGCGTTTTTCTCGACACTGGTTTATGCTACAATGCGCGCTTAGGTATCAAAAAATAGCTGAAATTCAGGGCTATTTTTTGATACCAAAGACGCATTTTTTGAAAGCACGGGCGCTTTGAAAAAAAGCAATGAAATGAAATACTAAAAAACTTTTGCGACTACGCGACTGTACGAGGGGGGTGGGCGACTATTAAAGTATTTACGATATATCCAAATTTTACTTTTTAGCTACAAATCTTGACTAAAATTGTCTACTATGGCTATTCATAGGGAAATTTTTAAAGACACAAATCGGGAGTGGGACAAATGCGACCTTTTTTCGCCCGGCTTTGCGCACCCCTTTGTTCCGCACCTTGCCCATTAGCGCACCTTTCGCGTTTTTCGGAATGGTTAATATAGCTCTAAAAGCTAATATTAACCAATTTCTATTCCAAAAGTTGTTTTTCTAGGTAATTTCAGGGCGTAGAATCGAAATTTTGACATATCAGAGCTTGTGGAACCAATTTGAAAGACAAAACGGCTAGAAAACAAACGACAATTTTCTGTAATTTGATCTAGCTAGATCTAGATTTTTCTAGATCAAATTATCTAGTATAACTCCGTCCGTTTGTTTCCACAAGCACTGATATGTCAAAATTTCGATTCTACGCCCTAAAATTACCTAGAAAAACAACTTTTGGAATAGAAATTGGTTAATATTAGCTTTTTAGAGCTAATATTAACCAATTTCCGGGAAACGCGAAGGTGCGCTTGATGGGCAAGGTGCGGAACAAAAAGGTGCGCAAATGTCCGGGTGCGCACAAAAAAAGGTCGCATTTGTTCCACTCCCCACAAATCCCCTAATGAACTGAACCGAATCTTTTTCCTTGAAAACAAAGTGAAATAAATAAGAAGTATAAATAAAATATTGTTATAAGTAGAAAAATAAAGTATATTAAGGCTTCAAAAGAAATCAAACTTACAAATAAAACTTCTCTGATCCGTTAGAAATTGTTCCTTCGAAACTTCTCGCGACTCTCAACAAAATAGCGGCACCCTAACACGTAGAAGCTCTATTTTTCTCATCAAATCAAAAAAATCAATTTTCTCATCAAGATGTTAAATACAAAGCTGAGACGATATAAAAAAAAGATTTTAGTCTTTCAACTGAATATCTTTTCAACTTTTACTTCAAATTACTATATTGTTCATCAAATGTTCATCAAATGTTACAGTTTCAATAAGCCATCAATAAGCATCAATAGTCAAATGTTACAGTTTCAATAAGCCAGCTTTTTTCTTAACATCTTGAGGAGAAATGGATTGGTAGTAATGGATTTGTTTGTACATTTTTTTTTTTGCTTCTTTTGCACAAAAGCACGCAAAATCTTTCGAAAAAGCACCCCGGCACGCACTCGAAAATTAGAGAATTTGCGCTATAGGTGGAAAGATCGAGGAATAGAGGAGGGAATCTCTCTCGAATCAATCATTCAAGAAAATCAAGAAAAGATACAAGAAAAGATACAAGAGAAGGTTGAGAAGGGTTATAAAGATCATCAACTTTATGAGATACAAGTGGGAAGTGATCAGGTTCTTCATAAAGGAAATCAAATCGAAGTGAACCAAGTGGAGACGAGGAATGTGTTATCGAAAGCTATATCAGAATTTGAAGCAAATCAAAAAGGTGATGAGAGAGTTGGTAGTGAAGGAAAAACTCTTTCAAGCTCGTTCACTGATCAAGATTCACTGATCAGCTCGTTTAATGATCAACGATTGAAAGGAATTGAAAGACAAAGAAGTTCTGAAAATTTGAGTGAACTTGTGATTGTGGAAATTGATGAAGGAGGTAAAGAGGGAGAGAATGAAGAGATGAGATCTGGAGAAGAAGAGAATGAAGGAATGAGATCTGGAGAAGAAGAGAATGAAGGAATGAGATCTGGAGAAGAAGAGAATGAAGGAATGAGATCTGGAGAAGAAGAGAATGAAGGAATGAGATCTGGAGAAGAAGAGATGAAGGAATGAGATCTGGAGAAGAGAGAGAATGAAGGAATGAGATCTGGAGAAGAAGAGAATGAAGGAATGAGATCTGGAGGAAGAAGAGAATGAAGGGATGAGATCTGGAGAAGAAGAGAATGAAGGAATGAGATCTGGAGAAGAAGAGAATGAAGGAATGAGATCTGGAGAAGAAGAGAATGAAGGAATGAGATCTGGAGAAGAAGAGAATGAAGGAATGAGATCTGGAGAAGAATATCATGAAGACAAGAGTGTTCTTGATATTCTTGATTCAACTGTAAATGAAATAAAACTGATCTCAGAAAATGCATCTTTACTAGATGATATAGAAGTTGAAACCAAAGATAAGCAAATGGAAAATGAAAAAGAGATAAGAATGACAGATTTTGCAAGCGATCAAAGAGAGAAAATGGAAGAAAGACTTGATTTGGATAAAAGAAAAGATTTTGAAGTTATTGTTCATTCAAAAACTGAAAATGAGCAGATGAGAGAAGTTGAGGTGACAGCGGAAGGCATGCTTTTGAGTCAAGATGGGGAAAGCCTTTCAAAAACCGTTTCTCAAATTGAACAAGCTTTAAGCAAACAAGAAAATGATAGTAAAAGCTATGATGAGTTGGGTCAAGTTAGCACTTTGGAATCTCTGGAAAATCAGCTTTCAACAAAACTCCTTGAAAAGATTGTCATTGATGAAGTTTCTGATGTTATTAATGAGATAAATAGACGTGATTTGGATGAAATGAAAGAAAAACAGAGCACTTCTGGAGGTGAAAAGATTCTCAGTGACCTCTCAGTTACAGCTTTTCATTCTGATGCTTTTTCTGATGAATCAATAGAAAGTGAATTTCTGATTGATGGCAAGGATCAACAAATAACAACAGCAAAACAAAAGCTAAAAAATTTGAATGAGCTTGTAAATGTGGAAGTTATTGATGTAAACGAATCTCTGGAAAATCAGCTTTCAACAAAACTCCTTGAAAAGACTGTCATTGATGAAGTTTCTGATGTTATTGATGAGATAAATCGATGTGATTTGGATGAAGTGAAAGAAAAAGAGAGCTCTTCTGGAGATGAAAAGATTCTCAGTGATAATCTCTCAGTTACAGCTTTTCATTCTGATGCATTTTCGATAGAAAGTGAACTTCTGATTGATGGCAAGGATCAACAAATAACAACAACAAAACAAAAGCTAAAAAATTTGAATGAGCTTGTAAATGTGGAAGTTATTGATGTAAACGAGACAACGAAGACAATAAAAACCTTGAAACATATCATTTTATCCCATTTCAAAGCAAAGAAACAATGGAAAAGGCCAAAATTGAAACCCCTGAAAAAACAGGATCAACATCGATAGATGAAAGTTTTTCTGATCTAAGTAATCAACAGCTTGATCTAAGCAATCAACAGCTTGATCTAAGCAGTCAACAGCTTGATCTGAGAACAAGTGCTGCCGTTCTGGAGAAAGAGATCAATGTTGATCATTCACGAAATCTCGAAAAGATTACAAAAGAGATTGCATTGGATTTGCTTCAAAATTCTGATGATTTTGATCTTTTTCCTTCGGAACAAAAGTCTGAGGTTAGCGATAAAACTAAAATCAAAAGCTGAAAAGAAAACTTTATCAGCAAAAGAGATAGAAATTGGACAATTGACTGGAACTGATTACAGGAATTCAGGCAGATAAAGGAGAAGTTGGAAAACTAGCTGCCATTGAACAAGGAATTGAAGCTCTAGCTGAACAACCAATTGATCTAGCTCTAGCTGAAGAACCAAGTGCTCTAGCTCTAGCTGAAGAACCAAGTGCTCTAGCTCTAGCTGAAGAACCAAGTGCTCTAGCTCTAGCTGAAGAACCAAGTGCTCTAGCTCTAGCTGAAGAACCAAGTGCTCTAGCTCTAGCTGAACAACCAAGTGATCTAGCTCTAGCTGAACAACCAGAAAAAGAAAATCTCTTGGTTAAAGATTTGAAAAAGTTGAAGAAAACGTCAAAGGCTAAGAAAAAAGTGAAAACAGATTCAAAATCGAAAGCTGCGAAAGCTGATTTTGATGAAAAAGCTTTGATTGAGACTGAAATCTATGAAAGTACGTCGAAAGATCGATTGACAGAAGGGAAAGAAGAGAGTGATCAGAAGGAATTGTTAGAAAAAGTGAAAAGAGAATTGATTGATGAAAGAGAGATTCCCGGTCCGAGTATTCGAGTAGCTCTCCGCGATCACAAAATCCCCGATTCTCCAGGTGTTCTTAGGGAAAAAAGGCGAGTTTTTATGAAAATCTAATTTCCGAATTTTAGCGTTCAACCCGTGGTGAGGCGGTGAGTTTCAAAAGTGTCCATTGTCAAGTTGTTTAAGTTCAAACTGGGCTTGCTATTGGTCAAAGTCGAATAGAAAATCGAGTACGGGTAGAAAAGGGTTTCTGTAGACTGGGTTACTGTAGACTGGGTTACTGTAGACTGGGTTACTGTAGACTGGGTTACTGTAGAGATTGGAAAACGGTAGTCAATGAGTTGCTTGTAGACAAATGAATTATGTTAGGAAATGGACTACGACTAGGAATTGAGCTTTTATAGAATTGGTTTACGATTGGAAATGAAAGTTTGCTATGATAGAAAGTATCTAGAAGAAAACTATATACAGTAGGAAACGGGTTACTGTAGGAAGCGGGTTACTGTAGGAAACGAGTTACTGTAGGAAACGGGTTGCTGTAGGAAATGGGTCACTGTAGGAAACGGGTTACTGTATTAGGAAACGAGTTACTGTAGGAAACGGGTTACTGTAGGAAATGGGTCACTGTAGGAAAGGGGGAGGGGAGATAGGAAACGGGTTACTGTAAGAAGCTCCAGTTTACTTGATTTTCTTCTCTATTTTTCATTCATTTGACCAAGTAAGTCTAGTCGAAATTTTGTTCAGACGATTCTTTTATGTTTTAATGCTCTCAATCAGTTCAATTTTTTTATCTAAAACATTTCTAAAACGATATGTTGATTAATGTTTTGAAAAATTACATAAAATTAAATAAAATTACATAAAAATGAAACTTTTAGAGTTTCCTTTGCCGAAGATGTGACTGAAAAGACAATGGAAGCAATCGATCACTCTTTGGAAATGAAATTGGGAATTGAGGTGGAGGATAGGGGAACTTCTTTCAATCTATTATCTTTAGATTATCTATTATAATTTATTATATTCAGGTTGAACCAAAGTTTGAAAAGCCATCGATCATCAAGAAACCGATGAAGAAAGAGAGCGGACACCAAAGAGAACTCCGACGAAATGAGGCTCCGTCTTTGTAAGACTTTGCTTATTTCCTTTCTTCTTTGTTCTTTTCTTCGTCCTCCTTGTCTTTCCCTCTTTCTCTTCGCGACTTGCCGAATAGCTTAGGAATAGACTTACCAATAGCTACTGAATAGCTACCGAATAGCTACCGAATAGACTTACCGACTTATCGAAGGTACCGAATAGCTCAGAGGTTAGATGTTAGAGCAAAGCAAAAGGCCATGGGTACAATCCCCTCTCCGACAGTCGCACAATTTCTTCACTTCACTTTTAGCGTATCTCGATGGCAGTGCCCCAAATAGTTAACGTTTTGCTTTTACAGTGCCCCAAGTAGTTGACATTTTGTTTACTGTAACATTAACTACTGAGAAAAGCGAGATTGAAGCCGGGCTACGGTAGACGAGCCGGGTTACGATAGACGAGCCGGGCTACGGTAGACGAGCCGGGTTACGATAGACGAGCCGGGCTACGGTAGACGAGCCGGGTTACGAGCTATCTAAGTCTTTCAGAAGATGGTTTTTTACTTGCAATAGGAATCTATCTATAGTAATAGTAATAGGAAACTATCTATTCAAAGAATCTAAGTAAAGATCAAGCTTTATAAACTCATTTTCATTGATGTTTAATTGATGTTTAATCGATGTTGTTTTCAGTGCCCCAGTGCGTCGAAACAGTCTTCTACAAGCGTTAGCTGTCGGCTCACCACACAATATTCCCCATTTCAAAACCCTTGAAGATATCATTCGAGGAATTCAAAAGGTATTTCAAATATTTCAAATATTGCATAATATTTATACATAATATTATATTCTATATTTATATCAAAAATGTTTATATCTATTCTCAGGCTGGCCTCGAGTACTCGAATCTCATCTTCGGAATCGATTACACAAAATCTAACTACTATCAAGTGGGTTAGAGATATTAGAAAATGATATTTGATATTAGAAAATATTAAATATCATTGAACATTGAACATTCTAATATTTTTCTAATATTCTAAATTTTAATATTTAATTAAATATTTATCTAATAAATAAATAAATATCCTCAAGGGTGAGCGCACGTTCGACGGGAAAAACCTGCACAATTTGGACGAAAGCGAAATGAATCCCTATCAACAAGTGAGTGAAAAATGGGGAATTTTAAGAAAAGAAGATTTTGATACATTTTGATTACAAGATTACAGATCGAGTTTTTTGTTCCATGAACGATCCCAAATACAGACATTGCCCTGAATACCTTTAAAATTTGCTTAAATCACTGTAAAAGTTATTTACTCTACTGTAATCACAAGCTCTAATATAAAAA